AAGACGCTCGATGGCCTTCTTCAGCGTGATGCAGTCGTCGGTGTTGTGCGAGGAGTTCTTGTGGAACCGGCAGTATGTACCGCCCTGCTGGATGGCAAGGACCTCCTCGGCCGGCCGAGGAGCCTGCTCGATGAGGCCATGCTTCTCGATGTAGTCGAGGATGGTGCCGACCGGGTGAGTGAGGGCAACTCCCGGCCGTTCCAACCTCGGCCGCCAGTGGCGATCTTTCTTACTTTGTCCACCAGGGCCGTGACGGCCCTGGGCACCCTGGCCGTCCGGGGACGGACCCGGGGCCGGCGAAGGATTTGTCTTCTTGGAGGGATGGCCTCCCTCTTTCTTGTGGTTGTGGAGCTCGTCGGCGTCGGCGTACAAGCTTCCACGCTGGAGCGCTTTGGCGTACGACCTTGGAGGGTCGGTGATGAGGCTCCTTGCGTACGGGGAGCTGCGGAGGGCTCCTTGGTACAGGGCGAGGAGGGTGCGCTCATCGGCCCCCTCGACTTCTTCGGTCTCCCTCGTCCACCGATCAATGAACGACCGGAGGGACTCATCGTGTTGCTGCTTGACGGAGAGGAGGTGGGTGAAATACTTCTTCGCACGCTTCCTCCCGGCAAAGTGGGTGAGGAAGCGTTGGGCAAGGTCTTGCCATGAGTCAATGCTCCCCTCGGGGAGCGCGTTGAACCACTCGTATGCTGGCCCCTCAAAAGTAGAGAGGAACCAACGGCAGAGATATTCATCCGACGCGTTCACCATCAGCATGTTGTTCTGATAGCGACTGAAGTGCTCCTGGGGGTCTGATCGGCCATCGTAAGACCTGATGGCGTTCCCCCTGTACTTTTCCGGGATGGGGGCCCAGAGCACCCTGTTGGTGAAAGGGGTCCTGGTCTTGACCTGGATGATGGGGTCACCTTGCCCTTCGGCCAACTCCCTCTCCAGGGCGCTGACCTTGTTCATGAGGGCGTTGAGGCCGGGGTCGTTGGAGGCGCCAGCCGTGGGGGTGTTGGTCGATTGCCTGGCCTCCATCTGAGCCAGCCTCCTTTCCAGCTGGGCGATGACCTCGTCCCGGGGGTCCCTGGCGGCCGCAGCGGCGCCCTGCTGGTTTCTCATGCGCTCGTCGTGAGCCGCATTAATCTGGTGGCGCACGTCGTCCTCGTGCATCTTCCCCTTGCCCTTGTTCGGGCGGGGCTGGTCCGCTGTCCGGGACACAGACCCCAAGCTTTCCCTTGGCGAGCCAGGCCGACGCTCACCAATCCATCCTGCCATCCTCTCCGAAACCGGACGACGGCGCGTGTCACCTAGCCTGTTGAAGGCAGAGGCTTTTCCACGCGCTGGGGTCTGCCCAGGCCTAAGAGGGGAAACGGGGTGGGAGTGGGACGACGTCGTGTCCTGGGCCATCACCCCCTCATCGTTGCCTATCTGGACGGCCAACGGTTGGGGCTGAGGAGGTGGAGTGACGTTCCCCCCGGTCCTTGGCAAGAGCGCGCTGAGGACGGTGGGGTTCTGGGCCAAGCTGGCGATGATGACCCACAGCGCGGCCTGGACCTGTGGATCCACAGACGGAGAGGCCGCGGCCATAGGCTGGGTCGGGGCGTGGTCTGTCTTCTCAGCTCGTCTCTTGTCCAAGCCGATGCCGGTATCAAGGGCTCCGTCGTTGAGCTGGTTGCGGAGGTCCGTCGTGAGGTTGATGGCCTCCTGGAAGACGTCCCCTCCACCGATCTGGTCGGCCGTAGCATCCTCCTCGTGCTCCCTGGCCTCCTGGTCCTCAGGGATGGCCTTGCTGACGAGGTTGCGGTTTGATTTAGTTCTTCCCATGATCAGTGGTTAGCTGTGCTTGATAACGACGAAGGGTGCTAACTTGATTGTTCTAACTCTCAACGAGAACACCAAATGATAGAGTATATCTCTAGAGAGAAGTGAGAGCTAGAGAGAGAAGTGCAATAATATGCTTCAATAGAATGATTTTGTCACACCTGATAACTACCTCCAGAGGAAGTATTTATAGGGAAAATACGGGCTGGGCTCCCAAGCCTTGGGCTTGGGAGACCCATTTACAACTGGACCGCTATTGGGCCGAATACAAAGCCACTAATGGGCTGTACAAATGAGTAAGTGTAGAATCCGGTTCTGTGAGGTCTTCGTCGCCGACGAGGGCGTGGCCGACGAGGGCACGGCCGACGAGGGCACCCGGGTTCCTTGGCTTCAGGACCATATTCTGAGTTGGTACCTTTCCGGCCGACGGGGGTCCCTCGGCCGACGAGGGCACCACTCAGTGTCTTGTGTTTTCTGTTCTTCTGAGTATGTGGGTCCTGGGGCTCAGACCCATATACTCCATCAATTTATATTTATATTGAATAATACAATTAAATAATATTAGTAAATAACTTTTATTTAGAGAATAAAATTTGAAATTAAAGAAAAAGGCAAGTGCATTTTTACCCCACTAAAGTGATTTCGCGCTTTCTTACAATAAAAAAGAGTACCCGTTTGTACATGAAGGTTGTTTACAATTTTATTCCAATCATATTTAGTATTTCCTTTTGCTTTTTCTTCAGCACAAATCTTCAAAAATGTAGTTGTAGTGGTGTCATTCCAAGGTGTCCTCCTTGACATTGTCTATATAATTGATAGTAAAATATTATTTATATTATATTACTAACTAAATTGTATATAACTTAGAATTGAAACCCACAATTAATAATTAATGGTTAATTAATTAGAAAATAATTATTTTCATAAATTTATATATTGACCAATAAAGAATAAGAAAAGGTAATGAACTTAAAACAAATAACTAATTAATATTGACAATATTAATTTGTGTAAAAGGAAATAATATTAAATAATACACTTTTTCTAAAAATCATAATTTTAAATAATAAATAATGAACTAACGGCTTCTTTCAAAAATAAACAATGACTCAGCAACTCAGTACGGCAGTACACTTCATAGGAGCACGAATGTATATGACTGTATATTGATATATATAATTATATATAACTATAAAACTTAATTAAAAATACTAAAAAACTTAAGCAACTAAGGCAGGCAATGAGACGAGAAGAGAGCAGAACCACCTGCGAAGTCGTCTGCTTCAGCGAGGAACATGGCAGGAAGGGCGAAACTTCTTCCTGGAGTTGCTGCGGTTCGTCTGCGGCAAGTCTTCTACGGCGATGGGCAACGAATACTTCGAATACTTCGTACGGAGTATTTCGTAAGCTTATAAAGGAGTAGATTAGTTGGGGCTTTGGAGTTTGGGCTTTATTGTTAATCAATAGTTAAATTAGTTTCCTAAAATTAAAGCCTAATTCTATGAAGTATTTATGGATTATAATATTTATAAAAAATAAAATCTTTATTTAAAAAATATAAAAAATAAAATTTCAGACCAAACCAGACTAGACCAAATCAGACCAAAATTGACCAGACCAGAACAGACTAAAATAGACCAGATCAGACTAGATCAACAAATTAAAGTCCAAGTAAAAACATCCTAAGTGTACATCGATAAATCAGGTTGGGCCAAATCACTTTAACTCAGCACTGGGCCCATCACAAGTCTTTGGGCCCAGATTTTTCTCTCTAGGCCCAAACCAGATTTCTCCCGTTTTTAAGGCGACTTCGAGAAAGGTTTCTCGCATAAGTTCAATCTCTCGCAATTCTGCACTCTCGAAATCCAAATTTCTCTCGAACTCTTTGTTCTCAAATTTCTTTCTCGAATACTTCCAAAAGGTAGTCATTTAGATTTTGGTTACATTCACCAACAATGCAATGGTTTTCGACACATTTAAACTGATTCTCAAACAACTTTCAGAAAGATTTTTCAATTTTGAGATCGAAAACAACTTTCTCGAATCTCGACCCATGAACTTCGAAGTTGGATGAAATAGGGTTTAATTTAATATTATCATTATGATTTTGTATTGTACAGGTGGTTTTCAACATTCTTCAAAGAGACGAACTCGAGAAACTTGGTTTCTCGTTGTTTAAGCACGAGAATGTGTTTCTCCATATTTAAACTTCGGAAAGTGTTTTCGATGTTTAAATCTCGATAAAGACTTTTTGATGTTTAAACATCTAGAAAGGTTCTCGAGAGAAGTTCTCGATGCTTAAACCTCAAAAACATTTCTCACTGTTTAAACCTCAAGAATGGTTCTCGATGTTTAAACCTAAAGGTTCTCGATGTTTAAACCTCAAGAACAGTTCTCAATGTTTAAGTCTCGAGAAAAGTTCTCGAGGTTTATTGTTTTTACTTGCACTGTAATTCAGACCAGACCAAAACAGATCAGACCAGACCAGACCAGATTAAAACAGATCAGACCATAACAGGCTATATATTATTATTATTATTGTTGTTGTTGTTGTTGTTATTATTATTATTATTGTTATTATTATTAGTATTATTACTATTATAACTATTGTTACTATTGTTATGTATTTGTATGATCTGGTCTGATCTGCTACGATCTGGAATTAAAATCAGTCCAAGTAAAATGATAATAATATTCAATAATTTGGAAGGAATGTTATTATTTTTAATTATAAATGAATAAAATATAATTATTTATGTATTATAATATATATAAAAACTAAAATCTTTATGCAAAAATATAAAAAATAAAATTTCAGACCAGATCAGACCAAAACAGATCAGACTAGACCAGACCAACAAATTACAGTCTAAGTAAAAACATCCTTAAACCTCGAAAACATTTCTCGATGTTTAAACCTCGAGAACGGTTCTCGGTGTTTAAACCTCAAAGAAGAGTTCTCGATGTTTAAACTTTGAGAAAGGTTCTCGATGTTTAAACCTCGAAAACATTTCTCGATATTTAAACCTCAAGAAAGGTTCTCGATGTTTAAACCTCGAGAAAGGTTCTCGATGTTTAAACCTCGAGAAAGGTTCTCGAGCTTTTGCCTTAGCATTTTTTTTTGCAAATTCCACCTCTACCCAAACAAAATAAAATTTTCAAAGGACCAATGTGCTAACCAATATTGTCTTCAGCTCATCATGTCAGGATCCAACCAAAATCAGCTCATCACTCAACTGTTCCCAAGAGAACATTGGATCAAACTGTTGGACAACAACTTCCAGCTGGACCTAAAGCTTTTCAAATGCCAAGATCCAGTCATCCCAGCAATAATTAAGGGTCACTATATCTGCATCGCATTCCACAAAGCTACCTCAATACCGGAGATATACCTACAGGAGTTCAGGGACAACATGTACACAAGTTCCAAGAAGGACAGAACCAAGATCTTCACAAAGCTGAATAACATGAGAGTGGTGCTGACACCTTCTACTCTAAGAGAGGCCTTGAAGCTGCCTTTGCTCAACAACTATGCACCACTCCCGACGAATGAAACACTAATCACAGGGATGCTGGACCTAGGCTACGATGCTCCCCTGACACTGATCTCCAACTTCTGCATCACAAATCTGCCTCACCCATGGAAGAGTCTGTTCGGGTTGGTCAACAAGTGCTTATCTTCTAAGCACGTCGGACACGACAAGTGCAACAAACAAATACTTCAAATCTTCCACGGGATCGCTTTCAATATACAGTACGACATGGCACAGCTCTTCTGGACAGAGTTGACGGACCAAGTGAAAGCGAAAGAAAAAAACAAACGAGGCACTATTCCATATGCTCGGTGGCTGGCCCTGATCATCAACGACATCATGACGTCAAACCCGGCCATACCGAGACGCAGTGAAGAACACCATTTTGTTGCACCAAAGCTGAAATACTTCAAAAAGGACAACCATAATGCTGCTGGAATGGCTATCCCTGAATCACTCCTCACTCTTGCCAACCAAAAGGATCCAGCAGTCGTCCAATACAGAGAAGCTCTTCAGAGAACAGTCCCTATGGTTCAACAAACCCCAGCTAGACCTTTCCAAAGGGCTAAGCTGAGTGCAAGTAAGGGTCCAAAGAGAGCCAAACCGCCACAAAAACCAGTGGCACGTCAGCCTAATGGTGACCAATCTGACCACTCTTCCGAGAGGACTCAGACTGCTGAGGGCCACACCCATGATGCTGAGGAACCTGTCGATGAACCATCAAGTCCAGCCACCAATAAGGCTGATGGGGTGGCATCCGATAGCATGGCTGAAAGGAGAAGTGCTGACGATGATGAGGATGAGGATGATGACATTAACGATGATGAAGCAACTGAGTCTTTGACCCAAAAGTCTAAACGCGCAGGAAAGCAGATCATCAAGGTCAACACAGCTGACTACGAAGAGGCCGATCACCTGCGTAAACCCCAGAAAGGGATAATCATTAGTGAGACGCGCTCGAAGCAACAAAACGACATCATCTCATCACCCAAGCCGAAAAAAAGGCTAGTGAAGAAGAGCATAATAGAGGAAGAGATGGATCTGTATGCTGATTGCGAACCTTTCTTACAGATAAGCCGAACCTCACCCCTAGGTGCAGGAGCTGACCTTGTCAGTTCCCGGGTAGAAGTCGCAGCATCTGGTTCTACTGCGCACTCACAGCCATCTCCCACCCACTTTTCAGCCTCCCAACAGGCTGGAGTTTCAATAACTCAAGGGGAACTTATACCCACCTCTCTGGTCCTTTTTGGATCAGTTGAGAGAATTAGTGGTCAACAGCCCCAGACCACAACCCCTCCTTCCAACACATCGAGTCTAGGTGTCACATTTCCCACATTTTCTGCATTTTCTAGGGCACCTATACTTCTCACTGCACATACAGGTACACACACCCTGAATGCAACGACCAGAGTGCAAACAATGACGGTCGGAAGCCCTGCTACGCACACAATGACTCAATCATTGAACGCAGGCCACACATCAGCTATCTTCACTGATGATGTGACAACAGTTACAACTCCTGTAACTGGTACCCTTATCCCTGAAGACTTAGCCGTTCTCCTGAATCGTTTTCTGGAGTCCACCATAATGCCATGGGTGCACCAAACAATAACCGCTCGGGCACAGGAGTTCAGAAACACCCAAATGGTTCAGAGTGAACACACCCAACCCCAACCTCAGCCCACACCCGCTCACTCCCAACCACAAAATATCCCAACCCTTTCTCCACACGAATCTGACACCTCTACTAACAAACCCACCAGGCCTACCAATTCTAGGAGAACCCATGATACAGAACTAGTATCATCCCCTCCATCGACCACACCTCACCCTAATCCATATACCATGTCGCTCACTCACCTCTCTGACATTATGTTTCTAAGACTTCTAGAAACTGAAGAACGCCACCTTACCCCTCTTCAACGAGCTCTTCTTCAGGTTTTCCTAAAACACGATAGCCCATGCCGTGACAGTCCTCGTGGTCACAAACGTTCGCATGAGGACCCTGATGATTCGGCTCCTCATGAAGGGGAGAACAAGAGACCACGGACACTTGAGCATGGTGCTTTAACAAGCCAAACCCTGCAGCCAAACCAACCATCATCCTCAACCAACCAACAACCACCGTCCTCTACCCAAAACCAAACCGCTAGCCTTCAAATCTCTAGTCCGATCAAGCTAGATAAAACATTCCAAGGCTTGTCTCCTAGATAAAACATGCAGATCAAGGAGGGAATGGAAGTCCTTGATGGTGTTACCTCTAGTACATCTTTAATCTCAGGCCATCAGTTAGAACCTAGTTCGAAGCTGATGACCACGGGCAATCCTACTGATCCCAGTACTACAGACAACATGTCACCAAAGCAGCAGCAAACTCCCTCTACTCCTCCATCAAATGACATTCATGATGAGCTTGAAGATATTCTGATCCATGAATCCATGACAAATGGCCTTGCAAATGGACGGAGTGGGATGATTTGAGAATAGAACCATAAAATTATGAAATGCAAAGAAGCTGACATCTTCGAGAGCTGCTTGCCAAGTGTGTTGCTGATATCATTAGGCTTGATGAAGACGAACTCAAGGAAGGAGAAAATTACAAAGAAACTCCCAAGGAGCTAGAATCCATAATCAGACAAACAGCGGTGAAAATGCCCAAGAGTGAAAAGCCATGGGAGAATGTGCGAATAAATGCTCCTTTCCATGACGAAATCCGAAAGCGCATATGGCGAAAACCCGAGAACATAAAGGAACTTGACGAGCTAAAAGTTCGAGGACATACTCATCTAAAAGGAAAACAAGTCGGAGGACATCTGCACATGCTCAGTCATCGATCTATGGGAAAGCAACGAGAAATCTTGGAGAACGATTTGAAGACCTTCAAGTTTCCGAAGATTATGAATGTGCAAGAAGAAGACCATCACGGTATACAGTTCTACACCTACAAGCTTCAACGCACAGACAGAAGTGAATTCATCTGCCAAGAGAACGATATGATTATGCTGAAAATGGATGACGTCTACTAGATGTTCATGGCCTGCAGAGACCTTCCTATCAGAACAAACAGAGTGTGCAGAGAAGGGTTTGAAGCTATAAAGAGATTCATGGTAAGACAAGTCAGAGTTCATAAATCACACGATCTACAAATGGCCCTGGAAAACAACACACCACTACTAGAATTGTAATCATTTTCTACTACCTATTTGTTGCGGTTTAAGGCTATGCGCAGCAAAACATGGAAATATTATAGTTATTTGCTGTGGTCATGGACTAACCGTAGTAAATGAATTAAAAGTTAATATTATGTGCTGCATGTAAGAAGGAATCTCAGCAAATACCCCGTATAGTTTTAGACAATTGATGCGGTCAACCCGGAACCGCAACAAATACTCCCATATTCTGCTAAATTGCTCCTCCTTATACGTTCAGCTGCTCATGGTGTCTTTCCAGGGCGCTGCGGTAGAGAGCTCCAAGGTCCATATGGTGAAGCTCGATGCCATACTGCTTTTGAGGCATCTCTGAATTGGTGGAGCGCCGGACGCGAGGAGTGCCAGACGCGAGGAGCGCAAGTACAGGCACCGTAGGTCGTAGTCCTGTAGGGTTCTCCATTCACACCATCGTCTGACCAAATCGTCCTCGAATCGGTGATGGCAAAGCTCTGCCTCTTCCTCGCGGCGGCGGCGAATGACTTATTACCTCATCCTCTTGGCCGGTTTCTAGGTAATAATTTCGAACTTGAGTGTATTCACGACTTTCCGAAAATATGATCACCAGGTTGTATGCTTGTTCTTTTCCTCTCGATTTCACTACATACTCCGAAAAATAATTGTGAATTATTCAAATAAATTGTTTCTGATATCATCCCATGATTGTGATTAGCTATTTTTTGACCTTTTTTCCATTCTATAAATCTGTTGTTTGTTGATTCTCCTGTCGGGGTTGGTTATTCGTATTCAAATACTTTGTCTGATAATCTTAGTAATGGTGTTAAAAGGACAGGTAGAACTTTAAGTTCACTATTTTCTCGGATATATCTTCATATTCTTATTTACATTTCGTGTATGAACTGCAAAGCATCCACATTTTGTGTTACAGCTGCAGATTCCCTCGAGTTCTTGCTGAAATGGTTTGAACGGTTTCCACAATATAAAGGAAGAGAGTTTTATCTCACAGGAGAGAGCTACGCCCGTGAGTTATTTCTTACTTGTATCCTCATTATTTGAATGAGATATTACTTGTATTCTTTCTTTTACCTTACATACTTTGGTAGACATTATTAATAATTCCGTCTATTACAACAACTACATTTGTCTAGGTAAGAACTTTAAGGATGGTGAGAGTACTAAAAAGGTCATTGAAATGTTGGTAGTTTTTCTGGATGCTAAATATATGGAAAGTAGTCTATTTTTTCGCGACCAAATCAATGTGCTCACATACAAGAAAGTTGTCTTTTTCTGCACTTTTTTAAGGTGAAGATATGTGTGCTCTGTGCATATATCATCATCACTTGCCTAAATTTTAGAATCCTTTTATTTTATTACATGTCTTCGGCACTTGGCAGTACCAAAGATAAATAATCTAAGGGTGCATTGACTTCATTCCAGGTTATGGTCTGTAGGTATTTAAGCAATGTTATTATGAACACTCCCTTCCGGAGTCCCGGGCAATTAGATCATATTGGTCGCATATAATTTTCTTTGAAGGTGTTATATGTGATTGATTGCTGTCTTATGTTTAAATTTACACCATGCTTTGTCTTACATACTTGTAGATGAGGGCAGACCAATAGAAAACAACCATCTAAGGCTCGGATCTGCAGGTCTTGCATTGCATTATGCAAATCTTATTACTCAGATTGATACACTTGTAAGTATAATATCTGTTTGTCTTCTGAAAAACATTTATTTGTACTCCATACTCTTAATTTCCTTTCATCATCCATACCATTAGCTGTTGTTTAGAACCTTTCATTAACACTCTTTCGATAATCTGTTACTGCTAGATACTTTCCGTTAGCGATTTGTTTACAAATTACAATTTGAAGGACATACTATAATATTCATATGTGGTGAATAGCGAATGTTTTACAAATTACAATTGGAATTACATACTATAAATATAGTCATGTGGTGACCTTGTGGGTTGTGTCTGGACAGTGGATTCTAATTTGGGATTTGTCCAAGAAAATTGGATATGGCAAAGTGATCCGGCATAGGCTGTTGGACTGTCCACACCTGAATAGTAAAATACGTAGCAGATAATTGCCAATGTTATTTCTGCATTGTTCGTTCCAATTGTGACCATTTGTGCTGACTTGTTGTGCGTAGGAGGGGGGTCCCTGTATTTAGGGGTGGGCGTGGTTGGTTAACCGTGTTTTGGTTAACCAACTTTCCGGTTAACCGAGAAACCTATTACTTCGGTTAACCGAGTATCGGTTAACCAAAGCTTCGATTAACCGAGTATCGGTTAACCAAAACTTCGGTTAACCACAAACCGGTTAACCAAAAACCATCAAACCATTGATTAAATATATACACACACCAAGAGAAAAATAAATTTTGAGAGTAGAATACAGGAAAAGGTAAAATACACTTAATAAGAATAAATGTGTTCAATTGCTTCAAAAATAGAATACACATGTTCAAGTCTCACGATTGCAGAATGGGCTAATTAATTATAACTCACAAAAGCTTTGACTAATTATTAATAATATGAAATTAAAAATTCTATAGTGACAAACAGAATTTTGTTTCTTCACATGTTTATTAGAATTGATGTATCTAGATGTGTTGGATACATATTTATCTTTCCAAGTTCTCTGAGAACGTGAAGTTCATGACCAGACATGAACATACCGGTTATTGGTTAACCGATAATAACATATTTCTAAAACCATAACCGTACCGCGAACCGTTTATTCTCACGGTTGGTTAACCGTACTGTGGATTTAAAAAATTGCGGTTCGGTTAACCGGGAAAAATGGCGATTTTCCGGTTTTTAGGCGCGGTTATACGGTTACGGTTTTTTATGCCCACCCCTACCTGTATTGATGGAATCTGAAAAAATCAGAGAAGTATTGATGGCAAGAGTTGGTGGTCTTCAAGAGTTGTACTTTAGTTTATTTTTTCTTAAATTGTATGTTAGCACTTATAACTACTTTATAATAACAGTATATAAAAGTTATACTTCAGCTAACTACTTTATAATAACAGTATGTTCACATAATTTAAAATGAAGTTTTTACTTTATAGTTTATGTTAAAATGAAGTTTTTACTTTGTAGTTTTTACTTCAGCTAACTTTATAGTTTATACAATTATAAAGTATAAACTATCAATTTGATTAAGAAGTTTTTACTTCTATAGTTTTTACTTCAGCTAACTTTATAGTTTATACAGTTATAAAGTATAAACTATCAGTTTGATTAAGAAGTTTTTACTTTATAGTTTTTACTTCAGCATATTAGTGGGGTTTAATGATTTGTTAGAAGAAATTGGTTTACCTAGCTTTAAGTCATCATCTCATATATAAATTTTAAATGATATGTTTGATTGAATATGTGCAGTTTTTCTATAGTCTGAATCAAGTGCAGATGGATGGATAAGTGTTGACTTGGCGTTAGGCAACTCTCATGAATCAAGAGTATTGCACACATTTATGAGGAATAGTATTACATAATATTGTCGTATGTTATCGTGTTGTTTTGATTGAGTTCACTATGCTTTGGCCATGTATTTGTGTGATAATTTTTTTAAGCTTTTAGGGATTATAAACTTACAACAAGATGGTAATTTGTATTGTATTCATTATGAATTTTGGCAATTTATTATTTAATTCTTCTTGAAATTATGATATTGATTTGTGTTGATGAGAAACTTGGATGGCAGAAATGAATTGCTTCTTATTTTGTAACCAGGAAATATTTTAGTAAAAATCACCTTTGTAACTTTAGTTAGTATCGTAAAACAAAAATAATGTGCCATTAATAGAGAGTATTTGTTGTGGTTTTTTAGACTTTTTGTTGCGGTTCGGAACCGCATCAATAAGTCAAAATTCGATTTTTTAAAACAGTTGTTTGCTGTGGTTCTGAACTGCAGCAAATAGGTTTTCCCACTATTTGGTGCCCTTCCAATTGGTGCGGACGTGCGGTTCATAACCGCAACAAATAGGCAAAAAAGACCGCAACAAATAGCTATTATTGTAATAGTGTATCGAAGGCTAATCTTGCAGAACCAGAGCTATATGGACCAGAGCTTGAAGCATTTGCAGCGTATCATATTTTTGTCAGCACCGTTGCAATAGTGTATCTCAATCACAAGGAAGAGAAGCGCTTGATGGTCGTTGATGAAATCCACAAATACTGTGATGGGACTCTGAAGATCATTCGAGAAAAGCTGCAACCAACAAAAGAAGATTTTGACAGAAGACTCGCAAAAGTATGGTTGGACTCGAGTCGGGCCACCCGGCCTGTGGACCGGTCTGGCCTGCTATTGTGCGGGATCTGGACCGGCTCGGTTCTCGGGTCTGGGTCTGGGTTGGGCCTAGGCCCGGGGGGTAGGGCGGGTCCGGGCTCGGGTCTCAATTTTGGTGAACCGGCTCGGCCGGGTCGGGCCCGGGCCAAATTGTTTTTTTTTTTTTTTTTTCATTTTTGGGGTTCCACCCGGGTTGGGCTTGATGGGTAGGATGGGTTTGGGGGGGTTTGGGAGGGTGGGGGGTGAGGAGGGGGGGTTAGGAAAGCAAAAAAAAAAAATCCAAACCGGAGGCCCAGCCCGGCCCGGACCGGACCCGGTGGCTATCCGGGCCGGTCCCGGGTCCACTATTCTTGAACCGTCGGCCCGCCCGGGCCTAGGCCTGACCCGGACCCGGCCCGGACCCGAATCCATCCCTACGCAGAAGCAACAGATGTTGAACTTAAAAAATCTCATAGAGTTGACCGCATTCTAAAAGCTATCAATGATCAATTTGAAAAGAGAAGGTCACTCAACAATATGAGCATGCGCTAAACCTGAGAAAGAACTACTTCAAGAGACAGAAAGCTCAGAAGTAAACAACAGCAAGACGACACTTGATCACAAAGAGGAGATTATTTAACATTATTTTATTGTGATTCAAGTTTGTCCAAGTCTTGTTTTAGATAGCCTTTATTATAGCCTTTTATAGTATTAATTTCATTGTAATAAATAGGCTAGAAAAGGAATGAGTCCAAATATGTCAGGCCCATATTCCTAGGCGCTAGGCCTTTACCTAAACCTACATGTGGCTATATATATGCGTGTAAGGTTTAGGACTGAAGCTAACGTTTGTATAAGGTATTCATCATTCTCGATATTAATAGATAGAGTTTTCACCGTTCAATATATTGCTATATCATTGTTTGAATCTCTGCTTCTGTTATAGAGTTAATTATCAAAATAGGACTAAAAGTCATTCATTTTTCACAAATAGGATAAAAAATGAACTATGTTTGCATAGGACTAATTATGTATACCTTGGACAATTATATCCTTATAGCTATTAAAATGTTTTAATTCCTAATAAAATAATAAAAAATAATAAAAATTCGTAAAAAATACTAAAAAATTAAGAAAAACATTTCGATATTAAAAATTTAATTAATTTTTTTTTTCAAAAAATTAAAAAAAAAAAAAAAAAAAAACTCAAAAAAAAAACCACCGCCGCCTCAGCACCACCACCTCCAGTCACCAAGGGAAAAAATGCCAAGTTCATTATGAATGCCATATTTATGGCAGAAAAAAATGAAAATATTGGCATTCGAAAAGAGAAATATGCCACTTTTTTGGCATTTTCAGAAAAAAATGGCATTTTTCTGGGAAAGTGGCATTTTTTCATTGGTCGGAGGTGGTGGTGCTGGGAGGTATTACAGGCGGTGGGAAAGGCATCCATATTTTTTTAAATTTTTTTACGGAGTTTTACTATTTTTTATTAATTTTTTTAAAAAAAATTATTTAAAAAAAAGTTTTTGAATTTTTTATTTTATAAAAATTTTATAAATTTTTTAATTATATTTCTACGAATTTTTGAATTTTTTTCGAATTTATTATGAATTAAACATTTAATTATTGCTTTTGACTATTTTTAATTCATATTTAATGGAAGGGTAAGAATGGAATGCAAAAATAGGTATGTTTCCAATAGGACTCATATGGTCCTATTTTGGAATAAAAACATAGCAAATCCTATTTTAGGTTTTGCCATAGTTTTAGTCTTATTTGAACTAATTTCTATAGGTAAAACTGAAATTTACATAATAGAAGGTACGATGTGAAGTTATTTTTGTACCATTTATTCTGCACATTTCAGTTTCACCTAATGCACATTTGAGTTTAAATTTTTATTCTGCACATTTCCATATCATTTGATGCACCTTTCAGTTTCACCAAATGCACAATTTAGTTCCACATTATATGATCTAACAGTTCTGATTCTTTTTCATTTCTCTCCTGAGAATCCGTTCTTACCAGAATCGCTCGATATATATATATATATATATATATATATATATATATATATATATATATATATATATATATATATATATATATATATATATATAGGGAGAATTTGACTTTGCACCCCATGTTTTGGGTGATATTTGAGTTTGCACCCTATTTTAAAAAACATTAATGTATGCACCCCAATGCACCTTATTAGCTCTATTAATGTGATTGGTTTATTAAAATATACAACACCAAAAAGAGGAAATAGAGTTTTAACTTTTTCTTAAGTATGTCTATAGTATCATTTGTTAAACGCAAATTAACCAAATTTGTCAAAAAGAATATAATCCATATTTATGGCAGAAAAAAATGAAAATGTTGGCATTCGAAAAGAGAAATATGCCACCTTTTTGGCATTTTCAGATAAAAATGGCATTTTTTTCATCGGCCGGAGGTGGTGGTGCTGGGAGGTAGTACAGGCGGTGGGAAAGGCATCCATATTTTTTTAATTTTTTTTACGGAGTTTTACTATTTTTTATTAATTAATTTAAAAAAAAAATTATTTAAAAAAAAAAGTTTTTGAATTTTTTATTTTATAAAAATTTTATAATTTTTTTAATTATATTTCTACGAATTTTTGATTTTTTTTCAAATTTATTATGAATTAAACATTTAATTATGGCTTTTGACTATTTTTAATTCATATTTGATGGAAGGGTAAGAATGGAATGCAAAAATAGGTATGTTTCCAATAGGACTCATATGGTCCTATTTTGGAATAAAAACATAGCAAGTCCTATTTTAGGTTTTTGCCATAGTTTTAGTCCTATTTGAACTAATTTCTATTTAAAGTAATCATAATTTGTTGATTATGGAGAGACATATTCAGCAATTAATATTTAGTTATTATATTTTTGACTCGGATTTTTTGTGCTAATAAACTTATATTTTTCAAATAAATCGATGAATGGCAAATTATGTCGGCGTTGTAATGAGGATTAGATTGCAAATTTAAATGCCATTCATTGAAAGAGTTGTTTATCATTTGAGCTTTACACAGATTGATGCGTAAAGTTGTTTTGTTATTACAATTTGTTTTTGGACATCTCGAGTCAGTGATGAATTATTACATTATCGTTGGATAGTACTATCCTCCGTTCCATAAAAGTTGCAACAATTTGACTTTCACGTTTGCCAACGCGCAACTTTGACTGTAATTATATTTATTTACGTATTAGTAAACATTAAAAAAAGTTAATATATTGGAAATTTACATTAATACAAATTTATTAATATTTTATACATAATATTTTTATTATATATATTATTAGAAAATTGTAGTCAAAGTAAGGTGTGTGAATAGTGCAGAAATTCCACTGTTGCAACTTTTATGGAACGGAGGAAGTATTTAATTTGAAATGTATTTGGTTCATAGATTGACTATTCAATAGTACTGATAACATTGGCTTTAAACCAACTCAATACCTATGGATTTTCGGGTTTTGACTTAATTTAAAAAAGGGATAAGGTTTCGAACTTGGAAAAAAATGTCAAATAAGGCCATATTTAGGATGCTCTGTCCGGCCGACGCCATTTGGGGCGGTTCCCGGTGGAATTTTTTGATGAATTTTTTTGAGAATCTTATTCATTAAATCTAGTTTACTCATATCAAATTTGAACTAAAACTTCAATCGAGAATGCATTCAAATAAATTTTTGAAGATAACTGCTCTTTTAACTGCGCAGTTATCTTCAATAATTCATTTGTATGCCTTCCCGATTGAAATAGTAATATTAGATATTAGTAAGACTATATTGTATTCGTACCATGAATTTAGAAAAAACTTACCAAGTACTATAGATTTTTCAATGTATGGGAATACCCTGATTTCATAGTTTTGTTAAATATGCGTGATGGGCCGGACTAGTTCGGTTTGACAAACGAACCGAATCGCACCAAATCGAATTACATAAAATCGAGTCGAATTAAATCAAGTTGAATCGAATTACATTATTCAATAATTTTCTCATATATTTTTTAAAATTAAGGATGTTTTTACTTGGAGTCTTGGACTGTAATTTGATGATCTGATCTGGTTTGGTCTGATCTGGTCTGGTCTGATTTCTTTGTATTTTTATAACTATCCATGTATGGTCTGGTCTGAACTGGTCTGGTCTGGTCTGGTCTGATCTTGTCTGGTCTGATCTGGTCTGGTCTGATCTAGTCTGCGATGAATTACAGTCCAAGTAAAAACATCCTAACAAATCAAACTTGAAGAGTTTTTACATGTTTGTTGGATAATATTTGAAATCTATTTGGTTCATAGATTGATTTTTTTGGGCTGCTGCATGTATTTTTGATGAATTCATTGTGATATTTTGAGACTAGTTTCAAGTTTTGGGTGCTAAGCTTACCAGCATTTGAAAAATCAAATACTGATGTAATAACAGAACTCAAGCATCCCTTTGATCATAATAGATTTTCTTGTGTTAGCTGCGGAGTATTTGTTTGTCCTTGAATTGGGCAGTTGGTATTTTAATGTCAATTTTCATTTTTGCTGCCAAAGTTCCATGTTTTATTACTAATTCATTTATTATTTATTTATTTGAAAAGCGAGCGAGGTAAACTAAAAGATAATCCTGACCTTTTTATTCTCCTTTGAACAGAAATAGATATAGATTTAATAAAACATATTAATTACACACACAACTGGAAAGTCTTGTAGTTTTCAGAGTTCTAATATAGTAGCATAACATGTACTAATTGCTGGGTATACACAAACGAGTCACACGATGTCTCAAATAATGAGTCTTCTTCCCTTATTGATTCGTCATACAATTCTCCACATCACTTCATTATATTATCCAACTTCTTCGAAATAGGCTAACTCAGACTATTACTGTCAAATAAACAACTTAAATTGTTTTAATTTAATACCTATCCACAAACAAATTAATTTTATTTTTAAAAAATAGCTAAACTTCAAATACCATTGTTCTTAAACTCAAATTGAACAATGCATGATAGCTAATGCATAATAGCAGTTGATGGAGTATATGGCCCAGAGACCCCCGACCCACATACTTTTTCACTACTACAACCAGGCCCAACAGGCCCAAACGGGCCAAGCCCACCAAAATGAAGCTCTAAGCAGCCCACAATACACAAGGGGTGCCTTCGGGCCCATGGTCGAAGACTACCGTTTCCAGATTCAAGCTCAGAAACATCACAGGAGAACAAGGCTAGAAAATCGAGCCTTCGACACTTAGAGCCATCGGCACTATGAGGCCCCCGGTACGAAGACCCTTCGGCTTGTCATCTACAGCCGAAGGCATCCTTCTCGACAGAATATCCTCCTCACATGCGCCTGAATCAACGTACCGAGTACAACGTCACATCCAACCACCGCATTTAATGCGGCCACTTGCAGGTGCCGGTGCCACCCGGTTGAGGTGACCCCTCGACCGTTAGATTATTGACACGTGTACTCTCATCGCATTTATTGCTGCTATAAATAGCAACCCATTCCTCGTGATTGCGAACTAAAAGAAACAGATCGTGATTCCGTCTGCAAAGTGGTGAGCGATGGTGACAAACTTGTTTGTCAGGTAACGGAAGATATCTAGTCTTCCTCGATAGGTCTCCCGGTCCTCTGCTAGACCTCTGCTCCTCTGATCCCTCTAGAATCTACTTTTTACTTTTTGTATCACACAAAACATATGTCACCAAACACTACTAACTTTTAATTTTCAAAATCAATTTTTTTTAACATTACCCATTTTTTACTATTAATCGCTTTTTCTAAAAATCACTTTAAAAATCACTTTTTTTAAAGCAAAAGCATTTCCAAACACACTCTAAACATGACTAGAAAAGTTATTTATATCAATTTATTTTCATTATGTAAAAAACACAGATAAATTAAAAATGGTTATTCTAGCATTGTAATTCTAAAGTATTAAATAACTTAGACGAAACTAACTTTATTAATAGCATCAGATAATCAAAAATCAAAATTGAGACACAATATCCATTTGGTAGGAAAAGAAATCATAAAATTGATTGGATCAACTGAAAAAAAAATAAGCTTGGCGAATGTCCCATGAGTTATCTATGCGTAAAGTGATGTAACAAAGAATGAAAACAAGGATAAAATTGTCACCTGGTAGTGAAAATTGGGTGCGGCAAGTGATAACTAGGGTGCTGAAGGACGTCTAGTAGCGGAATCATTGCGTAATAGGCCTCATGGACCACTCGGGGATGAAGAATATTCACTCCGTTCGCAAAGACACGGTAGGTATTGCATTGGGCAGCAATCCCTTTGTATCTATATTCGCCTACCAAGACGACAACATGTGATTTGGTATCAATTCTAAACCTTCCGCTTCCATCCGTATGTGGTATAGACTCCTCAATGAACTTTAGTGCATTGTCATTTGCATCCAGACTGGTGTACGGCCATTCCCCAAAAACAGGATAATTATCGTTAATACCTATCACGATTATAAGGGGGTCCTTTTTGGGAACAACAATCAATTGATTCTCTCTTCCATGTTCCCCTCTTCTTTTACCATCCATTGCATGACCTCGATCCAATGTGATTTGAAATTCTAAAGAGGAGCCTCAGTTCTATCGGTTTCATTGTTATTAAACCAATAAGCCTCCTTAAGCAATTCTCAGGGGAGTCGACAACCAATTTTGTCTGGATGTCCGGCCCTCAGAATATTTTCCCAGAAAGTGCGTTGAATTAGTGGTCCCTCTTTCATCGGTGTTGGTGGGTCGGCCAACACAAAGTTGATTCGGAGTGTGTACTCCAGATGCCGTTCTACGGCAACAAAGGTACACATATCTGCCAAAACATATCTGATTAGGATTTTCATATATCTATTTTTATAAGTAAAAGGAATATGAATAAAACTAACCTTTGTTTTGAATCTGTATAAGTAAAGTCAGACCATCCCATATGTATCTCTCGGGCTAAAGTAAAAGGGGATGGTCTAACTTTACCCATACATACAGCAACCACCTTTGATTCAAAACAAAGGTTGGTTTTATTCATATTCCTTTTATTTATAAAAATAGATATATGAAAATCCTTATCAGATATGTTTTGGCAGATATGTGTACCTTTGCTGCTGAATCAACTTTGCGTTGGCCGATCCACCAACACCGCTGAAACAGGGACCATTAATTCAACACACTTTCTGGGAAAATATTCTGAGGGCCAGACAAAATTGGTTTAATAACAATGGAGACAATAGAATGGTGCTCCTCTTTGGAATTTAAGATCACATTGGATCGAGGGCATGCAATGGATGGTAAAAGAGGGGAACATGGTAAAGAGAATCAATGGATTGTGTCTTCAAAAAAGGATCCATCTTATTGTCGTAATAGGTATTAACGATAATAATCCTGCTTTTGGGGAATGGTCGTACACTAGTCTGGATGCCGATGGCAATGCACTAAAGTTCATTGAGGAGTCTATACCACATGCGGAAAGTTTAGGATTGCTACCAAATCGCATGATGTCGTCTTAGTAGGTGAGTATAGATACAGAGGGATTGCTGCCCAATGCAATACCTGACAGTGTCTTTGCGAACGGGGTGAATATTCTTCATCTCCGAGTGGTCCTTGAGGCCTATATACGCGACGATTCCGCTACTAGACGTCCTTTAGCACCCTGCTTAACATTTGCTGCACCCAATTTTCATCATTGGGTGACAATTTTATCTTTGTTTTCATTCTTTGTTACGTCACTTTACACATAGACAATTAATGGGACATTCGACAAGCTTATTTCTTTTTTCAGTTGATCCAATCAATGTGATGATTTCTTTTCCTACCAAATAGATATTATGTGTCTCTATTTTGATTTTTAATTATCTCATGCTATTAGTATTAGTTAGTTTCATTTAAGTTATTTTATACTTTAGAATAAAATGTAAGAGTAACAATTTTTAATTTATCTATGTTTTATATATAATGAAAATAGATTCTCTATTCATGTTTAGAGAGTGTTTGGAAATGCTTTTGCTTTTCAAAAAAATCATTTTGGATAAAGTGATTAATAGTAAAAATTGGTAGTGTTTGAAAAAATTGATTTTGAAAAATAAAAGTTAGTAGTGTTTGGTATAAGTTGTTTGTGTGATAGAAAAAGTAAAAATTAGATTCCAACTTTTAGCTTTTAAGTGTTTAATCTAAGCAAAATCTGTCACTTGATAACACTTTTTTTTAATTAAAATCTCAAAATCACTTTTTTGTTTATTTTGTTTGCAAACATACCCTGGATCTTGTATTGTGGATGAAATACTCTTTTAGACTTATTGAGTTTTTTAAATCGCATACTAAACCAAATCAGTTTCCAACTTAGATCATAGTAAAACATGTATCACATCGTTATTAGACTAAAATATATTTTGCTAAAGATAATTTTGATCATTTTTTGTCTAGATATTCATGTTGCCAAAAATATATTTTGATAATTTTTTAAATATATTGATGGCTTGTGTACGACTGACAAAAAGGAATAACACACTAAAAATATAGGAAAATGACAAAAGTTTTACTTTGATACTTTTAAAAGATAAAAATATAATTAGTTTTCACTTTTTCAAAATCTAATCTCTTGTTTAAAAAATATAGTACATCTGTGATTGTCACTTAAAATCATTGTCGTCGGCGACCAGAAATTTGTCGGAAAATGTATTCATTCTCTCTTTGAATTTTTGCGTGAGAAATATAGTAGAAAATTTATGTCGATCACAATGACATGTTTCAAGTTGACATGACACATGTGTCAATGGTGACCCTCTTGGCGATATGTCTAATGACACTTGTAGACAAAATTGCATTATGTCTGATTGATATTGTCGAAATGTAAAAAAACCACTAATGCAATTTTGTAGACACTCGTGTCTACAATGACACTTGTAGACAAAAATTGCATGACACTCGTGTGTACAATGACACTTGTAGACCAAATTGCACTGTCTAATTGATATTTTCGAAATGTAAAAAAACAACTAATGCAATTTTGTAGACACTCGTGTCTACAATGACACTTGTAGACCAAATTGCATTATGTCTAATTGATATTTTCGAAATGTAAAAAAACCACGAATGCAATTTTGTAGATACAATTTTTATTTTTATTATAATTTCAAAAATATGTTTACATTTTTAATTATTTAATTTCAAAATATATTTATGTTTTTAATGAGGCAAATAGGAGTAAATAATAACTTATTTAATACGTAGGTGTAAGTTAATAACACATCATTAAAATTTATTTTATACTACGTTTTTTTAAAAGGGTACCCATTTAAAAATATGTTAGAGGGTGCACTTAGACGTGGGGAGTGGTTGCTTTAGTACGTGGTCAGCTGGGCATGGTTGTAGTTTATGAAGTAAGAATATAGTATGTACTTATAGAGAAATAAATGGAATGGAATAAACAGACATTGCTGATGGTTCTCTCACACTTGCTTATGCTTTTGAAGACACCGGGTCTCAACCTTCCCATCAACTCACAGCTGACATCCCAGGAAACCACTTTGTATAAAAATATCCTCCAATTTTCTTAAATTCTCTGCAACTTTAGTTTCTCAATACCTTCCCTTTTCTCTTTATGCTGAAAGGCCTCAGTTGACACTGATCATATATTTATTCCAATCCAAACCTCCACGACCTGACATCAAACATATCTGGGTGGCTAGAAGTTGACTCTAAAGTACGAAGAAGGGCTATATTATTCACCTCTATTCTCTGGTGAATCATTGGTTGGATTTTTTAGGAGTATGCTTCTATTACTTGGTGAACTTCATGTTCATCTTCTTCTTTAAACATTTATCAACTTATTAAACATCACATTTTCCTTTGGTCTTGAGCATTATAATTAGGCTAAATGTAGCCAACTGTTTTAAGGGCACACGATCGCAAGTTCTTTCCATGGACTCTTAAGTCTGCCATTGAACAAGCCTATGCACAGATTGCATCTCAATAGTCATGCTTCTAATCTGGCAAGGGGTTCCAATACAAGAAACTCTCAGGATATCCTTCTGTTTCCCCTTCACTATTCTACTGGCATATCACTTTTTTTATTCAAACAACGCATTATATGAATTCTCAGGGTTTAAAAGTTATGACCACTAGTAAAAAATAGCAATTTTTATTTGATAGGCTTGAGAAGTCTACTTTCACTTTTATGATTTGCTTTTATACAATGCAAAACAATATTTTTATACTTGAAGCAACCCAATAAAACAAGTTGTATTGGACCGGGTTCGATAAACTATGATAATAGAGTGAGATGTTGGAATATTTAAAGATCGAATCGTGTCCTACCTATCTAAATGGTTACTCTTGAGCAGTGGATTATATTCTTTTTGACAAATTTGGTTAATTTGCGTTTAACAAATGATACTATAGACATACTTAAGAAAAAGTTAAAACTCTATTTCCTCTTTTTGGTGTTGTATATTTTAATAAACCAATCACATTAATAGAGCTAATAAGGTGCATTGGGGTGCATACATTAATGTTTTTTAAAATAGGGTGCAAACTCAAATATCACCCAAAACATGGGGTGCAAAGTCAAGTTCTCCCTATAAATCAGAACTGTTGGATCATATAATGTGGAACTAAATTGTGCATTTGGTGAAACTGAAAGGTGCATCAAATGATATGGAAATGTGCAGAATAAAAATTTAAACTCAAATGTGCATTAGGTGAAACTGAAATGTGCAGAATAAATGATACAAAAATAACTTCACATCGTACCTTCTATTATGTAAATTTCAGTTTTACCTATAGAAATTAGTTCAAATAAGACTAAAACTATGGCAAAACCTAAAATAGGACTTGCTATGTTTTTATTCTAAAATAGGACCATATGAGTCCTATTGGAAACATACGTATTTTTGCATTCCATTCTTACCCTTCCATTAAATATGAATTAAAAATAGTCAAAAGCCATAATTAAATGTTTAATTCATAATAAATTCGAAAAAAAATCAAAAATTCGTAGAAATATAATTAAAAAATTTATAAAATTTTTATAAAATAAAAAATTCAAAAACTTTTTTTATAAATAATTTTTTAAAAAAAAATTAATAAAAAATAGTAAAACTCCGTAAAAATATTTAAAAAAATATGGATGCCTTTCCCACCGCCTGTAATACCTCCCAGCACCACCACCTCCGACCAATGAAAAAATGTCACTTTCCCAGAAAAATGCCATTTTTTTCTGAAAATGCCAAAAAAGTGGCATATTTCTCTTTTCGAATGCCAACATTTTCATTTTTTTCTGCCATAAATATGACATTCATAATGAACTTGGCATTTTTTCCCCTGGTGACTGGAGGTGGTGGTGCTGAGGCGGCAGAGGCGGCGGCGTTTTTTTTTTTTTGAGTTTTTATTTTATTTTTTTTTTTTTAATTTTTTGAAAAAAAAAATTAATTAAATTTTTAATATCGAAATGTTTTTCTTAATTTTTTA